CTATGATGCTGCTTGGCCTGCTGTGTTCATCCAGCCCTGCACCTTGTTGTCTTCACTTTGACAAGGGTTGTTCAGCGAGTCAGAGATAGCAAGAACTGCAGATGCTGGAGTCAGAGATAACACAGTGTGAAGCTGGAGGAGCACAGCAGGCCAGGAAGCATTAGAGGAACTGGAAAGTTGACGTTTCGGTTCGAGACCCTTCGGAAGACCCTTCAGATCCTCCAGCTCCACACTCTGTTATCCCAATCAGTGAGTCACTGCTCACAGTGCCACACACAACAGAGGCTGCTTCAGAACAGGTTGTACTCACCAGAGTGCAGTACATCTCGGGGGTCTCTCCACATGTGCTGTTGGGGGGATCCAAACTGATCTTCAGGAACCTGGTGAGCAGGGTGGTCTCAGGTTGGCAGGCCATGTAATCCCAACTCATCCATTGGTCCCAGTGGACCCGGGTCTTACACAGGTCATAGTGACCCCAGGATGGGAAGTGCTGTGCAGAGAGAGACAGGGTCACATAGAGAGCGTGAAGGGGCAACAGACTAGATAGATGCATCACTCAGTCTTTACCCCACTTAGAAGGGGGTTAATCTCAGTCCTTCTGGGGTGATTTAGGGGATATGCCGCTCAGACTGGACTTCACACACAGAGGCGGTAGATCTTGGTGTGTTCAGAATATTTTGCGGCTCATCTTCCAGCTGTTTGTCTCAGTGTTGCTGCTGCTATTCCAGCTGTTGTCCCAGCTGTTCGCTCCGTCAGGCATATGCTGTGACTGGCTGTTCAGGCAGTACGAGGAGCCAATAGGATGACTGTCTGCTAAAAAGTAGCTGTTTCCCATCGATCACCCATCCACATTGGAATCTGACCCCTGTTGGGAAAGAAATCAAAGCAATGAAATTCAGAAAAGGGCCTGACTTCAGCATTTGAACAATGACCTCGAATCATTGGATCATGGACCTCCAATCTCAGGTACACATTAGCTGGAATATGACAGGAATACTGACCATATGGGATTACAGCACTAACACTCAGTGGATAAATGACACATGCAAAGCACAATTGAGCAAAGTGAGACAACGAATCTGTGTTAATGGTGCTTCATAGGATTTTGTATTGGCCAGAAAAACACAAATCTCATCAGTACTTCTGAAAAGACCAAAGTGATCTATTAATGTCTACCAGAAAGAAAGTACCTGACTGTGTATCAATCCATCAGTGTTACTTCTCTGATAATAGTGCAGCATTTCCTCAGTGCTGACCCTCTGACAGTGCAGCGCTCTCTCAGTACTGACCCTCTGATAGTGCAGCACTCCTTCAGTACTGACCCTCTGACAGTGCGGCACTCCCTCAGTGCTGACCCTCTGACAGTGCAGCACTCCCTCAGTACTGACCCTCTCACAGTACAGCACTCCCTCAGTACTGACCCTCTGACAGTGAAGCACTCCCTCAGTACTGACTCTGTGACAGTGCGGCACTCCCTCAGTACTGACAGTGCAGCACTCCCTCAGTACTGACCCTCTGACAGTGCGGCAATCTCTCAGTACTGACCCTCTGACAATGTGGCACTCCTTCAGTACTGACCCTCTGACAGTGCGGCACTCCCTCAGTACTGACCCTCTGAAAGTGCAGCGCTCCCTCAGGTCAATTGAGGGAGTGTCAAACAGAATTTTAGTCTTGAGTCTCTGCACAGGGAGTTAAACAAGTCCAAAAGGAGATGTGAAGGGAATTGCAAAAGCAATTTTAAAAATTACCTTACTTTATTACTTCTCATCAATCTCAAGAGCCACAGAGCCTGAAAGAGGAAAGTACCTTTGATGCAATATTTTTTAAGATGTTGCCATTTGAACCCTGATGTTATTTGAATAAAATGACCCCACCCAGAACCTCTTTTCCAATGCAAGGTGTTACTCTTGAGCTGAGAATGATACGCATATTAGTAACTCAGATATTTATAACACATTCTAGAAAAAATACTACGAGCTTTTAAAATTTGCTACACAATCACAGAAATAGCCGCTAAAAGTCTCACTTCCTCCCTAAATAATTTAACTCGATCACAATCAACAGCAACATTCTGTATATAACATCAGGGTTCAAGACCCAACAACACAGTCATCTTACTGAAACCCTGACACACACTCACCATCTCCAAACCACATACATACTCACCAACTGCAAACCCCCAACATACACTCATCATCTCCAAAGACCCAACACACATTCACCATCTCCATACTGACAACACACTCTCAATATCTCCACACCCCCAACACACATTCACCATCTCCAAACCCACAACACACATTCACCATCTCCAAACCCTCAACACACACTCACCATCTCCAAAGACCCAACACACACTCACCATCTCCAAATACCAACACACACTCACCATCTCAATACAGACAACACACACTCAACATCTCCACACATCCAACACACACTCCTCATCTCCAAACCCTCAACACACACTCACCATCTCCAAACACTGGCACACGTTCACCAGGTCCAAATTTACTTCACGATCACAGCAATAGTCCCTGAATGTCTCACTTCCTCCCTAAATAATTGAAATCGATCACAATTAATAGTAACATTCAGTATATAAAGTTAGGGCTTAACACCCAACAACACCATTAGCATATCAAAACCGTGACACACACTCATCAACTCCAAACCCCCATACACACTCACCATCCCCAAACTCCAAACATACACTCACTAACTCCAAACCCCAACTAACACACACCACCTCCACACCCACAACATCTTCACGAGCCCCACAAACACTCAAAATTTCCACACCTCTAACACTATCTCACCACCTCAAGACCCCTGAACACGCACTCACCATCTCCAAACACCGACACACACACACCATCTTAAAACCCTCAACACACACTCACCACCTCCAAACCCGCCAACTCACTCTTGTTATCTCCAAACCCCCGACACACACTCACCATCCGGACACCCCCAACAAAACCCCAACACACACTCACCATCTTCACAACCCTAACATACACTCAGCATTTCCACACCCTCAAACTAGCACTCACTATCACCAAACACCCAATACACACTCACCATCTCCACACCACCCAACACACACTCACCATCTCCAAAACTCCGACACACACACCATATCCAAACCCTCAACACATACTCACCATCGCCACACACCCCAACATACACTCACCATCTCCACACCCTCCAACGCACACTCACTATCACCAAACCCCTAAGACACACTCACCATCTCCAAACTCCAAACACACACTCACCATCTCCACACCCCCAAAGTTCACACACCATCTCACACTCCGAACACATACTCACCATCTCCAAACCCCCAACAAACATTCACCATCTCCACACCCCTCCAACACACACTCACTATCACCAAACCCCCAACACACATTCACCATCTCCACAAACCCCCAACTCTCACTCACCATCTCCTCACTCCCAACACATGTTAACCATCTTCAAATGCCCGACACATACACCAATTCCAAACCTTCAACACACACTCACCATTTCCAAATCCCGAGCACACACTCACTATCTCCACGCCCCCAAAATACTCTCACCGTCTCCACAACCACCACCATGCACTCACCATCTCCAAACCCCTCAACACACAAACCATCTTCAAACCCTCAACACACACTCACCATTCATAACCACTGACACAGTCACCAGCTCCAAATTTACTACACAATCACAGAAATAGTCACTGAATGTCTCACTTTCTCCCTAAATAATTCAACTCTGTCACAATCAACAGCCATATTCTGTATACAACATCAGGGCTCAAGACTAAACAACACAGTCGTCATATTAAAACCCTGACACACACTCACCATCTCCAAACCCCCAACACACACTCACCACTTCCACACCCCCAACACACACTCCACACCACCAAAGCTCACACACCATCAAACATTCCCAATACACACTCACCATCTACAAACCCCCGATACAAATTCACCATCTTCATACAGCCAACACACACTCAGCATCTCCGCAACACCAACGCAAAGTCACCATTTCCACACCCCGATACACACACCATCTCCAAACCTTCAACACACACTCACCATCTCCAAATCCCAAGCACACACTCACCATCACCGTGACCCCAAAACACTCTCATCATCTCCACAACCACCACCACATACTCACGATCTCCAAACCTCCTGACATACAAACCATCTTCAAACTCTCAACACACATTCATCATCCATAACCACTGGCATACACTCGCCAGCTCCAAATTTGCTACACAATCACAGAAATAGTTACTGAATGTCTCACTTCCTCCCTAAATAATTCAACCCTGTAGCAATCAACAGCAACATTCTGTATATAACATCAGTGCTCAAAACTCCACAACACTGTCATCATATCAAAAGCCTGACACATACTCACCAACTCCAAATCCCCAATTCACACTCACCACCTCCACACCCCTAACACACACTCACCATCACCACACCCTCAATGTGCATACACCATCGCCACACTCCCAACACACACTCACCATCTGCACAATCCCAACACACACACAAACCATCTCCACGCCCCCAGCACACACTCTCCATCTCCACACCCTCCAACACACTCTCACCATCTCCAAACCCCCTACACACACACCATCTCCAAACCCCGAATGCACACTCACCATCTCCAAACTCTGGAACACATTAACCATTTCCAAATTTGCAAGACAATCACAGAATGAGTCCCTGAATGTTTCACTTCCTCCATAAATAATTCAACTCTGTCGCAATCAACAGCAACATTCTGTGTATAGCATCAGGGCTCAAGACCCCAACATACAGTCATCATATCAAAAGCTTGACACACGCTCACCAACTCCAAACCCTCATACACACTCACCATCTCCAAACTCCAAACACACACTCACTACCTCCAAACCTCCAACACACACTCACCACCTCCACACCCCCAACGTACACACACCATCATACCCCCAACACACACTCACCATCTCCAAACCTCTGATACACATTCACCCTCTCCACACAGCCAAAACACACTCATCATCTCCACACCCCAACATACACCCACTATCTCCAAACCCCCAACAGTTACTCACCATCTCCACACCCCCAACACACACTCCCATCTCCAAATCCCTGACACGCACACATCATCTCCAAACCCTCAACACATACTCACGATGTCCAAATCCTGAACACACACACTCACCTTCTCCACATCCCCCACACACACCATCTCCCCACCCCCCACCACACACTCTCCATCTCCAAACCCCAAACACACAAACATCATCTGCACATTCCCAACACACATTCACCATCTCCAAATCCCCGACACGCAGTTACCAGGTCCTGAAAGATAACGAGCCGAAATTAGAGATGCAAGGAAGAGGTGGAACTGACAGAAAGTGAGTATGAGATTGAACAGCATCAAGCGATTGTCAAAAAACATACTGAACTTGAATAGTGAGAACAAAGGACAGGGACGGTCCGACACAGATAATTTGATGAATCTCAAGAAATG